TTTCTCTCTCTCTCTCTGTCGGAATGGCATCCCAAAATCTATAATTCTTTTCTGAATTAAGGGAACATAGGCAGGGAAAAAATCACAAAGGAACATTTACTTCAAGACCTGCCTTTCAAATGTTTTTATATTTTCAAAAAACTTTTAAAAATCTACATTTTCTAAGAGGAAGAGCTATTCTGTCAAAGTAAAGTCTATCTAGGCTTCATTTCCTAAGAGATCACTGTGTGCACAGAGAACGTTTCCTAATAGGTTTCGTTTCCTAATAGACCAACCACTGTGTGTACAGAGAATGCCAAGTTTACTGACGACAACTGCTTTCCACCTCATCTCAGTTAGTCACAGAGTTTTATTGTCTTTAAGGAAAAGAAAACTGAAAAATTCTTTTTAAAAAAAAATCATGTGCAAAGCTCAACTCAGCTACAATAATCTGGATTCACAATGCAACTTCCTGCGAAAATAAGGAAGAAAAATAAGAAAAGTCAGTTTTTGGACTATGCACAACAGTGCCCCCAGATGCTGTGACTTCATAAACAAGCTCAGAGTCAATATTAGCCAAGTGAGGCAAGCCATCATCGGGGATTTAGTACACTTGTTGAAGTCTTCCTATCACTTGGTGCTTACTTACTCCCTCACCAGCTTAACCCGTGTCATAATGCGACACGTAAATCAGCCCCTTTAATGGAAGCGATGCATTTCAACAAGCATAAAGTAAAATAGGCTGTTACTTTGAAAGGACTGACATTCATGGGTGGGGGGAAAAAGAAAAATGTGCCAGTTTTATTTTCGTATGTCCTACTTAAAAGACCATTCAAAGGAATAAACAAACATATCAGAAAAAAAGAGAACACTGGGTAACGCCCCACAACTAAAGCGATGAACATGCACATTAGAATCTATCTCTAGCTCCCACAAAGCTCCTCATTCTCTCCCAACTAAAGACATCCTTAAGTTGGAGCCAGTGTGGGCTCTGAATAAAACACAATATTGCTTCAAAGAGTCAGAAAGAAGTAGGAAAACAAAGGGTGACAGTATTTAAAGTGCCTTTAAGGCAATATCCATTCAAAATACACCTGTACTATTTATAATGCTATTTATTATCAGGAAGATACAGCTTACTATTCCAAGTTACAGGCTCTTAGCATATTGAAAACTTTACAACCTTTGCTCTAAATTCTTGCTTCTACAAGTTTTAAAACCCACTACATTAACTGGCATTGTTCAAGCTCTCTAATAAAACTGGCATGAGGCCACGCAAAAATTAAGAAAAACTCAGCACCCCAGTGGGGAGGCTCAGTTGGTTGAGCATTGTCCCATACACCAAAAGGTTGTGGGTCTGATCCCTGGTCAAGGCACACACCTAGGTTGAGCTTTCCATCCCAGGTCAGGGAGCGTGTGGGGGCGGGGGCAACCAATCTACGTTTGTTTTTCTCTCACATTGATGTCTGTCTCTCTCTCCCCCCCTCCTTCCTCTCTCTCTCAAATCAATAAATATATCCTCAGGTGAGGGTTAAATGGAAAAAAAAAAAAAAAGAAAAACTCAGCAAAAGTAAAAAAAAAAAAAAACAAAAAAACATCTAAGTTCAAAAAAATACCTTGAGACTGAGATTTTTTCCCCCTGAAACAGTTTCATGTTGTATGCACTAACTCCAAAATTCCACTTAAGCATTACTGCAGAAAAATCAATTGATACAAGCTCTTTTAATCCCTTCATTTAAAAAATATTTTGATACCTTCCTATCATAATATAAATAACTCAAATCTCAAATTTTTGAAATAGGTATGTATATTTGCTATAGAGATTTCTTTTTTAGAGCTTTCTTATGTATCTAATTTCTTGCAGTAATTATAAATGTACCCTACAAATATCAAAATTCATTTCCTAGCCTCTAAGAAGTTCCAGTTCAGTCTAGAAAGGACATAGGCATGGAACATATAAACATACAGATTATAAATTAAACCTTTATATCATAAAAGTCTACAAATATGCATAAGCCTCATAGAGTAATATATTCATTTATCAAAAATGTCTAGTGCATTATCTGCTGTTCTCCATTTTGTCTCTGCCTCCCGTTCTTCAAGGTCTAATCCATCTTTTTTCCTCTTCCATCGTTAGCTGCAAATGAGAGGCTATTTGCATTTTAGAAGTGGATGGAAGAGCGTTACAGCGGCCTAAGCAAAATTCCGTGTCAAACGAGAACTGACCTTATCTAAGTCAGAGCTACTTTTTACCGTCCTAAGTCCACAGTGTTAACCCGAAACTCTAGATCAGTGGACAGATGTGATGCAGAAGGAATTGGAAACACTCTACATTCACAACACGCATTGTAGTTTACTGTGCTTTTCACATATGCCATCTCACTTGAAGCTCCCAAATATCCTGTGTGATATGGAGGAGCGTATTACTGTCCTACAGTACCTTGATAAGGGGACTCCAAGAGAGAAAGAAACCTCATTAAGGTTGCTCAGCCAGACACCAGAAACACTACAACTAAAAGCCAAGCCTGTGCTTTCTGACTGGGTCCAGAAGTGCGAACAGTTTTTCTTCTTTGTGATCAACCACCCAAGGGGAAAAAAAATCCAATTAAATTCTGCACATAAATACGTACTTATGTGAGTAAAAATGTATTCATTATTCAAGGAGAATTCCCTCAGAGATGCTTAAATTGTGAGGGGGGAAAATCTTTACCTTTAAAAATACGTGGCATTTAAAATAATATGCAAGTAAAATACGGTTACAGTATTTCTTTTCCAATTTACAGATGAGTTCACTTTTCCATTTAACAGTATAATTCTCCTCTCAGTCTGTACTAGTAACATATTATTCACGGTAAGAAAATTAATTTCAGAAAGTAAGATAGGCAATAAAGGCATTACAACAAGACCAAACAGCCCTGGCAGCTGAGTTGATTAGAGTATTGTCCTGATACACCAAGGTTGTGGGTTTGATCCCAGGTCAGGGCACATACAAAAAGCAACCAATGAATGTATAAATAAGTGGAACGACAAATCGAAGTGTGTGTGTGTGTGTCTCTCTCTCCCTTTCTTCCTCTTTCTCTCTCTCTCCCCCACAACTCCCTCTCTCCCTCCCTTCCTATCTCTCAAATCAATATATTAAAAAGACCAAACAGCCACAAAGAATTTGTGAGGTAAGAATGCCCTACAGACAAAAAGATATCATCTCAGACTCCTCTACATGTTGAGAGCTCTGAGTACAGGTCACATCTCTGTCCTTGGGGAAGGAACTGATGCAAACCAGGCTCCAATATGCTACCTTCTCACCCTCAAGGCATCTGAGGATTCTCCCATCTCCAGTCCGCATTTCTCTCATCCATACCCTTGGGTTCCCTGTCAACTGAAGATCACCTCTTAGTGTGCACAGATATTTCAACAAGCCCAACCTTTTCAAAATCAAATTATCATCTCCCCCTAAAACCGAACTCAGCCTTCTCCCAGTTTCCCATTTCAATGAATGGCTCTAACAGCCACTGAATTTTCCAAGCCAAAAGCCTGAACAGCATGGCTGAATTCTCCTTCTCTCTCCTCTGCCACATCCAGTCAACTACCAAGTTTTGAATGAAAACTTTCGGAAAGCCCCAAGAATGTACACCACTGTAACACTACTGTAGCAGCCTTCTACAAAAGGCCGAAAGCTACTAACAGTTCATATTTATTGAGACTTACTTTGTATTAAGCACCACGCTAAGCTTTAGGTCCGAGTTACTTTAATCCACACCACACTTTGAGGTTGGTGCTAGCCTCATCCTTGTTTTACAGATGAGGACACAGCTACAGAGAATTTTGGTATCTTGCCCATAGTAACAGGTGAGGCCCAAGGTCTTAACATTGCACTGAGTTCTCACTTCTGTGTCCCTGGGTGCACCTTCCTGCTCTACTTCGAAGGCCCTTTCAACCTGGCCATCCAGCTTTGAAGGTCAACACGAGCACCATCTTTTCTACAAAGTCTCCTGACGCCCCCTGCTGGTGTCCATCCCCTTAAGTCAGTGGTTCTCAAAGTTGACAGCAAGCTCTAGAAACTAGCTGTCTAGATCCCAACGCTAGAGATTCTGGCGGCACTAGTCTGGGTGCAGCCTGGGCTTCGGGGCTTATAAAGGCCCCCGAGCTGGTTCTGATACGCAGTCAAGGTTGAGACCCACTGTTCTGTATTTCCCCAACACTTACACATCAGAGCACTTACCCCACTGCATTGGAATGGGCTGTTTATGGTTGGGCTAACAGCACTGCAAGCTCCTGAAATGGATGTTTCACAGCCTCCTGGGGGTTTTGGGGTTTTTTGGTTTGTTTGTTTTCAAAACTAGAGGTTCCTGGACCTCATTTATAAACTAAACCTGATTTGTAGCCAGGACCCTGGAAACTATTTGTCTCTTGACTAATTCTGATGTGCGGCCAAATTTGGGGACTCTCTCCTAGCTAAAAACTGGGTCTTTTCATTTGTATCCACCAGGGTACAGCATGGTGCCCAGGCCATAGGTGGACCATGGTAAACATTTGAGTAATGAATGAAATCTAGTAATGTGAATCTGGGGGCTGGGTGTATATATTCAATATTCAAGCCTCCTAAAACAGCAGCCTGAAAAGCTGTTTCCTGCAATAAAGTTCAAATACTGGGCAGCCTTTCAAATGTGGTTTTTAATCCTCCAGTGCCCCCTACTGGCATGAAGATGAATAGCTAAATCAAAACAAAGGTTACAGTTCAAATATTTTAATGGCATATGCACATTAACTAGTGACACACACTGTACTTTTCCCACCAACACCTATACTATCAACTCCTTTGCCCTCCAGTCCTAGCTGATCCAAGCTGACAACTCACAAACCCAGGTCAATCCTACTATTTGCTCTGTCCCCACTCCTGGGCTGCAATCATGATAGACCTGCCCTAGCAGCACTCAGCAGGGCCCTCGAAGCCTCTCACTTATCTTTTTTGTTCCTTGGTCAGTGCCTCTTCCAAATTCCACCACATTCATAAAGTTACTCACTTGAGAACACAAGAAGCCATTCATCTATCAATTTGCCTCAGTTCTTGCTATTAAAAGTATGATGGGAGAGCAGCAGCATCCACATCACCCAGGAGCTTGTTAAAAATGGACAATCTGAGGCCCCACTTCAGACCTACGGAATCAGAAGCTGCATTTTAGGAAGAGTCGCATGCACATTACAGTTTGAGAAGCACTGGTTCCCAACGACTAGACATAACACCACCATTTTAGGACAGATATTTTTCAACTCTTTTACTTATATGCATAAAATTCATCACCCACTTACATGCATAAGTCCAAAAAAGAGACCATTTAATGACTCTTTTAATGGGAACAGACTGACTTAATGGGAACATAATAGAAACATAATGGAGATCAAAGAGGAAAGATTTGTAAGAATTATATTTCAGTATATAAATGCTCAACAACTAAAGATGTGATGGACAACTCGACTACTCAGAGGGGGCGGCAGCATGCAGGTGAGAACCAGTGTCCACAACCATTCCCATCCCTCCCCTTCTGTCTCACAGGAGGGAGGGGATCTCTCTCTTTCTTTTAAAGCTAAGGAATTCTCTCCTGTAAAAGCTCTCTCCCCACACTCCTCCCTAGGCCATCAGCACTGCCACATCTTGAATACTCCAACAACCACAAAACAACTCTAGAATCTTGACCCAACATGTCCTTCTAACAGCATATTCTCCCTCCTTCCTGTGATGGCCAAGCTTATAAACCATTGTGCACATTTACACTTCTCTCAGTCACCGACCATATTAATCTAGCTTTCACTTCCATTAGTAAACCTATATGTATCGTGAAAGCTTTTCAAATTGCTCAAATCGATGAACGCTTCTCCACACTCATCTAACTCATCTTTCTGTAATGGACACCGCTGGTTGCACATCCAGTCTCCATTCCCCTACTGTGTTCACAAATTCATTTCCCTCCCATGTGATTAAGAGAAAGTGACCCTATCTGGACATGACCCTGTGTGAAAGCCAATCACAGCATGACATTCCCCTAGCGATCGCTACAGGGTCAGAGGCAGACACCTGACCTAAGTTGGTCCAGACTGAAGGAAGAGCGTAATCCAAGCATGGGAACCTTGTCCTCTCTCTTGCTCTAGTGAATGGGAAAGCATGTGTCATAGGCAGTCATCTTGCAAGCACAGGGGAACAAATCTTACTGTTGAAAGCCAAGAGACAGGGCCCTTGATGACATTGCTGGCCCACAGGTGTCCACCCTTCCTCTGGACTTTGTGACATAATTTCCCTTACTATCTAAGCAATTGGATTTTCCTAGCTGAAAGCATCCTAACATAGCCTGTCCTTCTGGAAACTTTCCTCCCTTAGTTTTCGAAACATCACTCTTTTACTCATGGACAACAGTGTGGAGATTGCTGGGGGAGAGCGATATAATGCGACTAAATGGTAATGGAAAGAATACAATAAAGGCTATACATTTTAAGTAAGTAATTAATGGGTCACAGTGAACCACCCCTCCTCATATCCAGGTAGTCCCCCACCACATTGACGCTAGAGACGGCCAGGTGACTTGTGTTGACATCAGCAAATGTGATGCAAGTAGGTAAGTTTGCACATTGGGACTTGCTCTCTTGGAACCCAATAACCATGTGAGGAAGCCCAACTTAGGCACTTTGAAGGGTACCAACCCCCAGACACGGGAGTAAGACCACCCTGCAGTGTGGCCACCAGCTGAATTCAGCTGCTGGGGGATGCCAGAACTGCCCCATGACCCTACAGATGGTGAGAACAAATCACTGTTCTAAGGCACTGGCTTGCTGAGGTTTATTCTCCAGCAATAGATAAACGAGACAGTTGCCTACATTTGTAACTGAAGAAGTTGCTACATTTCAGTTGGAGGTTGCTGAAAATAAAGATCTTTTCCCATCAGAAATCAGGGACTCCCAGGATTCTATCCAGAAACTTTTGAGGGGCTGTGGTCCTCAGGATAAGAACCCCCGGTTAGGCAGAGGAAATGCTGCTCTCCTTTTCACTGCCTCAGCACCTTGCTGGTACTCAGGTAAACTGATTACAGCACATCCCTTGTCACTGCAACCCTAAAACTGAGCTGAGCTTCTAGCACATAATGGGTGTAGCACATAATGGGTGTTCAACACAAATTAATCAAGCAAATGTCAAGTTGCTTACGGGATCTGTCATCCTGACTAAACTGTGAGCTGCCTGAAGACAAAATAAAAGCGAATGCTTAGATGGTATTTCTATGTACCAGAGCTCCTTCCAAATACTTTACACATACTAACTTATGACTTATAACACTCCTATGAGGTATACGCTATTTCCCCAATTTCGCCAACAGGAAAACAGGTGCAAAGAGGTTAAGTGACTTGCCCAAGGTCACACAGCTAGAAAGTGGCAATACCAGCCAGCACTGAAAGGTGAAATCTATGTTCTGATTGTATAGCCTGTACTAATGCGCCCAAAGTACACTGCAGGGGCTCGATAAAACTTTTGAATAGTATTTTTGAAATTGCATTAGCATTATTTTATGGGTGTTACGCTTCTTGCAGACTAATTTCTGGTAGCTTGTTTTTCATGATAGGAACTACCATTTATTTCTTTAAGTAGTAGAATGACAACTTCACGTTAAAATGCAGATTTTCGAACAAAGTCTTCACTGTACAAGTCAACTCCTTTCAAAGGACACTAATTCATAAATGTAAAGAAAGAGGTCAACTTGTCCATACAAAATAATGTTCACTAAGGAGGGGAGCAAAGCTCCAGCTTGCCACCCACCTCCAACCCAGCCACTCCTATGCTAGCAACCCCCACATCCTGCAGCAGCTTCTCAAGAGGGTGGCCCTCCCCCATTCACAAACTAGATTCTGAAACCTGACTCTACCAAGCAACCAAAGCCGAGCCCCGCAGTACCCGGAGACGGCCTCACCATACCCACAAACCCAAGAGGGCACCAGGGGGGAGAGAGTGGATACTTTGGCGAGGGGGAAGGGTACTTGAATTTTTCAAAATGTTTTATTTGCGAGAATACGACCCAAATGGCCCCACCCACCCGGAGTCTCACGCCTCCGCCCGGCAGCCGCCGGCTCCAAGAGGACAGGTGAATGAACCGCGTGACCAAGACGCAGCCGGCCCCGAGGCGGGAAAAGCCTCGGGTTGAGCAGGGCCTGGTCCCCAGAGAAGCCCACGAGAGCGCGGGAAGGGCTCCGGGAGGCCGGGAGGGAGCGGTGACAGCTGTGACCCAGCTCCATGCTCTCACCTTGAACATGTCGCTGGCAGCGGCGGCTCCGGCGGGGTCACCCCGGCCTAGGCCCCGCCCACTACAGAGAGGCGGCTACGGCGGCCGGATAGGGCCCAGATTCAACCGACCGCAGGTGGGCCGCGGTGTGGATGAAGGCGGTACAGCCAAGTCGATCCCGCGAAAGCTTAGTTTGGAAGCCTGAGGTAGAAGCGACGTCGCTAAACTGCGGCGCGTCGCGCTAAACTGCGGTGCGTCGAGCTTCGCGGGGCCAACGGGCTCAAGCCCCGCCTTCCAGAGGCCCCGCCCCTGCTCCGACGGTTGCTAGGCGGCCAGGAAGCGCCAGCTCTGTGTGGGCGGCACAAGGGGGCGGGAGGAGAGAGGCCCCGACGCATCGCGGCACTGGGAATCAGCTTTCGCCTCCCAGATTGGGCGTCCAGCGGCGTGGGCTGGAAATTTGTGCTCTAGACCGCCGGGCGGGGGCGCTCAGTGGACCTTGGGCGATTTGGAAAGCCTCGGAGCCGGAAACTGCCGACTTTGGGGCCTGGATTTACCTCTCAAAAGGTTTTCAGTATTTTTTTTTTCCTCTTACTGTGGGCTAAAGTTCCTGAGATCTTAAGTTTAAACTACTGTGTTACGTCCTTTAGTCTCCAAAGGTCCTGACCTTTTCTTTTCTCTTCGATATACTTAAGTGTATGCCCCTCACTAGGAATCAAATGTTTGTTCCTTAATAGTAGTAGAGACAAGTAATAATGACAATAATTACTAACAAGAATAGTATCCTACGTGGCATTTACTATGTGCCCAGCTCAGTCCTAACTTCTTAGGCATATTTATCTAATCTTTTAAATAACCAAAGTAGGTGGACATGATTATTGCCAATCTGAGGAAACTGAGGCGCAGAGTAGTAATTTGTACAAAGCCACACAGAAGGGTAAGAAGCCAGGATCCAAACCTAGGTCGTCTGCGTTCAAAGCCTGTGATCTTACCTAAATAATTGTTATAGTGTGTCATAATGGAAGTGTGTTTGATATTTCATTCTGTATTTCACGTCCTAACCCCTAAGAAAATGTAAACCCATCCAGGCAGGCATCCAGAAGATTTGGGAGGTTTGTGTGGTGATGTCCACCAGCCAAAGACCACTTCGAACACCTCTGTGGTTGAACAAGTTGAGTTTATTTCTTTTCTCATTGCTGAGAGGAAAACACACACTTTGGGAAACTGGGGCATCTCAGTAAGAGGGCGTTGGGTAGATTCATTGTAGGATTTGAGCTTGATTGAGTGATTTGGGGGCAAGTTCAAGGAAGCTGGGCTTTGCTCTGGGTTGGGTGTTGTTAGAAAGCCACCCTAATACCAAAGCCCAGCCGTGAGTGCCAGGCCAACTCCCAGATGTTCAGGGCTGCTTTTCTTTTTCTCAAGTGAATTGTATATTCCAAGCCACCCCCATCCACATCCTTAAGGAGAAATAGTGAGAAGACTCTGAAGGCTCTGCATTAGCAATGGAATGTCATATGTATATAAAAATGTGAAGTATAGTGGGAAAATAGGGTAGGAGTTCTTAATTCAGGGGGTTATGTGAACTTGGATGGGGAAAAATTACAACTTTATTTTTACTAACCTCTAACTGAATTTTAGCATTTCAGTTATAGTGTAGGCAACAAGCTACAGTAATAGCAGTACCTGTGACTTTGCCATCAATAGAAAGCACAGATATCTTCATATCATGTTATAGTCATGGAAGACTTCTTTAGATATCATTTCTACTCATTACCACTTCACATGTACAACAGTAATTAGAGCTCTCATTTGATTTAATGCATAAATAAGGCACATTTCTATAATTTTGTTTTTTTAATATATTGCAACAATGATCTCAATGTAATTGACATTTTGTGTAATCCTGTATATTTTATGTTATGCATTTTTGCCCTCACCCAAGGACATGCCTATTGATTTTAGAGAGGGAAAGGGAGGAAGGGAGAGGGGGAGAGAAACATCGATGTGAGAGAGAAACATCAACCTTATGTGCCCCAACTGGGGACGGGACCAGCAACCCAGGTATGTGCCCTGACCCAGAATCTAACATGCAACCTTTTGGTTTATAGGTCAGCGCTCCAGGCAACTGAGCCACACTGGCCAGAGCTATGATATGCACTTTTAAAAACATAGTTCTTCAAAGGAGTCTGTCCATGGGGGTCCACGACTCTAAAAGAAGAGATAAAGAGCCCCTGGTTTAGTAGAAGAGACTAAGCAGTCACTAAGAATTTGGGGACTTCATCAAAATTAGAGTAATGCGTCAAAGGACAGAAAATCAGAGATACACACCCCTTCACGTTACCAAGGTGGGAACTGTGCTACTGAGAGGTTAAGGACTTGACCAAAGTTTCATAGCTATTTCATGACAAAATCGGGGTGGAAAATATCTAGACAAGCATGTAAAAATCCACCACTCTGCTAGGCATTGAGGATTCCATAGTTAGCAAGGTGCCTCCTGCCCTCAATAAGCTTGTTTGGATAACAGCCAGGAAAACAAAGTATGATGCAATATGGGAAGCAATGTATAAGAAAACTATATACAGTATTACAGGACCTTGGAGACAGGAGTGAGCAGTTCTGTAAAAAAGTGGGAAACTTAAGAGACATCAGTTAGCTGAGGTCTTCAAGGATGAATTGATATTTACTGGTGGCAGGGAAGTCATTCCAGGTAGAGGACATGGCATGACCAGCAGCCCAGAATTGTAAAACATTGACAGATTTTGGCAAGACTCTTGTTCTCACAGAGTATAGAGAGGAATGCTGATGAAAGTTGGTATTTTGAGATTTGAAAGAGAGAATGGAACTAGTTTGTGAAAAGGCTTGAACGGCACTCCAAAGACTCTGGACTTCAGCTAGGAGGAAATGAGGTGTCCCTGAAAGATTGTAAATTGGGGAGTGATAAGGTTGGATTATTGATCTAAAAAGTTCACTCCAGCTGCAATTTGGAGAACGAATAGGAGGACAAAGAGCCTGGAGACAGGGAGACCGGTGAGAAGGTGATTGGAAAGATCCCCTTATCCTTCCCATATTACTCATAACATTTTTAGTACACAAAGACTGTAAACTATAAGCAATATTAAGAGATACACTCTGCCTTCCTTTTTAAGTGGTTCTGAAATTAGTGCAACGATCAGATGACACTTGAGTCTCATCCAGTGTAATAACACAAATTATAACCTCAAATGCTTAATTTCTATACTTTCAGAGTACTTCGTTATAAGAAAAATGAAGCGTTCCTCAAAGGCAGCAGTTACTGGTGTTCGAAAATCAGTTCATCCAAGCTTGGTGAAAGGCCGCAAAGTCACTGCACCACGTACTGAAAAGACAGACGAAGCACCACTGTGAGTAGCCATCTTTCGCCTTGTATCATTTTCCACAACTGAACAGTTTACATACGGTATTTACCCAGGTACTACATCAAACACTTCTTGTTTTGTAAATTATAGGTTTTTTGTATGTTTTAAAATTACTTTGGAATTGAATAATTATTATAATTATAGTATTTCATAGTTTACAAAGCACGTTAACACACATCTCTTTGATCCTGACATTGCTCTGTGAAGCAGTCTTGTTACATTTTATATGTGAGGAAGCAGCAACTGGGAGAAGGTAAGTGGTTTGAGAAGGTTAGACTTCTAATAAATGGCATCGGCTCCAATTTAAAGGATTTTTTCCATACTCCAGGCTTTTTCTACTTTACACCTTGTAGTGTGCATTGTGCCAGCCCTCAGTGACAGCGACGTTATACAGGAATACCTCTCCTTGCGTGTAATCCTGCGACGGGTAATGAAAGGATTTGGGGGTTGCGGGGAGGGAGACCCTGTGACCTGCTAGATCACAAAATAATTCTCTGACCTGACTGGGATGAACCTGGTTCAAGCATAGATCGAAAAGGAGTTTCTTTTCTAGGGCATGGTCATCTGCTCCTACAAGAGAGTTCATCCTGCTGTAAACTTTGACGATTCTGCATTCTGTTTTCTTAGCATTTGAACTAGATAGACAGTGCTTTTAAGAAGTAACTGCAGTGGAATCATTTTTAGGTCATGGTCGTTTTTAGAAAACAAGCTTGTCTCTTCACACATTATTTACAATATTGCATATATACACACACACATATATATGTATATATACACACACATACACACACATATATACATACACACACACACACACACACACACACATATATATATATATATATATATACACACACACACATATATATGCCTTCTGATGATACAGTTTTAGCCAGAATAGTTTTTTAATCTCAAAGGAAATGTCCTCAAGTATTTCATATCCTCATTCTAGCTGGATTTTGCAAATGGCTAGTTCGAATTGCCACATCCAAATGTTCCTCATTAGGTCAGTCTTGCGGGGGGGAGGTGCAAGAGGAGGAAGCATAAATTCAGAGCTCCCCAAGATTTTAGGAAAAAGAAAACGACTTCACAGATCTTAGCCTCTTTTTTTTTTCTCTCAGAACTCAGAAAGATATTGCAGCTATAGTAATACAAAGAGCTTGGCTATCTCATATGGACAAAACAATATTTCAACTCCTAAAGCACACAATTTGTGCAGCGGTATGTATTTTCTTTTTGTTTTGTCTGACAGATTTAATTTCACAGTGGTGTTGTTTGTAATAGCAAAGAAAGTAACCCATATAATGTTTATCAATATGATGCTGGTTAAGTAAGTGTTGCTTCTTTCATAGTGTTAAACCTTGAAGCCTTGCATATGAACCTGCAATAGAAAGATAGCTAAGATATTGTGTTAGTGAAAAAGGCAAGCGTAGAACAGTATGGATAATATGGTCCTACTGAGTTAAAAAAATGCATATCCCCTACTCTCCCCTCCCAAAAAAAAAACAACTCTGGCAACCCTGGCAGAGTATCAAGACTTCCTTCATATAGTACCAAATATTCTCCTAATAAAATCACCCATGATTACAGTAATCTATAATTAGTAATAGTCACATTGAGGGAATTTTGGCCCCTCTGAAAAAAATCATAAAGTCCGAGTAATGTGTACAATTCTTCACCATCTGACCCAAAGACCTATTTCTGATGTCAGTGAAAGCAAAATACCGCAGAGAAAACCCACCCAGGTAAACCTGTGACATTGCAGGTTCATTGTTCATTGTCTTCACAAATAGAACTTGTATTTAAGTATTATAGCACTGGTTTTGTTATAACTTTAGATTCTTTTAGTAACAGAAAGGAAGAAATTATTTTCTTCATCTGTTATCCTAATGCTTCAAGTTACTACTTGACAGTAATAATCCTTTGTCATTTTAAAATCCCTTTGGTGTACATTTTCATGCGATTGGCGTAGACATAAATGTTGGGCAGGGTCATATGGGGGTAAAAGTCGGGTATTTAAAGTCCAACAGATCAGGGTTTGAATCCTGGCTTCCCCACTTACTACCCGTATGCCTTTGGATAAGCTACAGACACTCCTAGAGCCTCGGCCTGCTCCTTTGTAAATTGGGAATGATAATATTCAAATAATATTGCTGAATTGTAAGGATCAGATGAGATTATGTGAATAAGGCACCTAACAGTATGTGGTATATAAAATGTGCTTAAAAGCTAGTAACAGTACTATTATCATCCTCATTTTGCAGTGATTCATTCAATATTAAATACTTGTTAAGCACCTGCTGTGTTCCAGGCACTGTACTAGATGCTGGGAACACAGTGGTAAAAAAAAAAAAAAAAAAAAGGACACTGCTCCTAACTTCATTAAGCTTCCCATCTAGTAGGGGACACGAAGGAGTTTATAGTCAATGACAGTACATTGTGAGAAGTGTCGTCACTGGGAGAGAACAATGTCTGGAATCTCGAGGAGGAACCCATACCCAAACTTGGAAGCCAAGAGGGTGAGGTAACTGACTTAAGGCTACACAGATGAGAAGTGGAGAAGCCAGGACTAGAACCCATATTCAGAACTTTATGTCTGGTGTACTGTTCACTTTATCATGCCACCTCTGATATTTTCAGTAAATTGCGTCTGGTCAGGGTACCACCTTCCACTTATAGCACCCTCATCTCTTTCAGGAATATTGTGTGACACACGAAATACTGAAGAATGTGAGCCCCTTAGAAGCTGAGCTTGTTAAAGATCCTAGCATCAAGTGTAAAGTTAGATTCAGGTAATGTTTCTATGCTGCTTTATTTCAAAAAGTACTTAGTTAATATGAAGACATCTTAGAAGTTCATTTTCTTAAGTCCTCATCACTTCTCAGTATATACTTACAAAGTAAATGTGTTCTTCCCTACCTTTGTTATGGGAAGAAACCGAGGCATGACTCTTGGACTGAAAGTTGCCTTGAGAGTGGCTCTCGTCTCCCACGATGTGTCCAGTCTGACACACATGTGAGAATAGTTGTGATGCACACATGTAAGTGTGGCTTTTTCGTCTTCTGTCACCCACTCTATTGCCAGTTCTTTCCTGTGCTCTAGCATAGCTTTTCCCCTGCATGCGAGAAACTGTGTGAACTACCTTAAGTACAAGGGGGAGAAGTAACTGAGCCCCAAACCTGATGCCAAACAACAAATTTTTGTTCTTTCTTTCAGGTTTAGTGGTGAAACATTTCCGCCTTCTATTGTATTTAAAATTTTTCTTCACACCGGAGGCCATGGTTACAAGTATTTCAGTGGAAAAAATATTTTAAGGCAGTCAAGAAAGGTGATGTTTCACAATGTCCATTTTATGTTAATTTAGCTTCTTATAATTTTTAACATCATAACGTAGATATGTAGTATCTGAATTGCATTTAAGTATACAGACTAAATGATCTCACCATTAAACATCCCAGCAGGCAGTTAGGATTTTTTTAAGCATATGTTTCAAAGTGTCTCTGTTTATTAGCTAAAAAATATTTGGCATACTTATTTATATAAGGCCCTAGAAAATACCCACCAGTATTCTTTGTATTAAAATTTTGGTTTTTTAATACAGGGGTGGGCAAAAGTACGTTAATAATAATATTAAATAGTACAATAATTAATAAATAATACAAGAATAAGGTCTGTGTTTCACGTACTCACAACTGTAAACCTACTTTAGCCCACTCCTTAATGGACTAATGTGGTCTATTTGTCACGGCTTTAAAATTGTGCAGAACAGCTCTGGCTGGTGTGGCTCAGTGGAATGAGAGCCAGCCTGTGAACCAGAGGGTCGCCCATTTGATTCCTGGTCAGGGCACATGCCTGGGTTACGGGCCAGGTCCCCAGTAGGGGGCGTGCAAGAGGCAACCACACATGAACGTTTCTCTCCCTCTCTTTCTCCTTTCCTTGTCCTCTCTCTAGAAATAAATAAATAAAATCTTTTTAAAAATCATGCAGAACATTTGATGCAGTTTTGTCTAATGATGCTTTATCATTGTTTCTTCAGTTCTGGTAGCATATTTAGAAAAACCATGCTGGACTGTTGGAAATGAGCTTTTAAAATATCCTTTTTTTATGTGAGTTCCTATACTTTGAAGTTTCATGAATATTCAGCAAAATTGTGTCCAGAACATAGGAATCACCTGAGGATCTTGTTGAAAATGCAGTTTCAGTTTCAGTAGACCTGGGACGGACTGAGCCTAAGCAGCTCTCAGGTGCTGCCCGGGCCACTGGCCCATGGACCACATTTTTAACAGCAAGGATCTACAATGCAGGGTTGACTCCTTTGACCCATATATATGACTATAATTAAGTGGGGAAAGTGTGCATTCTCATATTTAGCCTTTTATAAGCCATAAATCAAAGGTTATTTTCCTGTAGCCTTCTGGAAATATTTTACATGAAAAGTATGGCCCATCCGAAATAATCAGTACTGGCATGAATTGCGGATAGAAGACCACACAGCCTGGCAGTGTCTGATCAGATCCAGCATGTGTAGCCTTTATTCTCTGAAGAATATTAGAAAAGGAAAAGAGACTGCTTTTTTCCTGTTCTCAGGCAATGTCAGAGAAAATTTAGCTCAGTTTCAGAAATGTAGCAAATGGATTATGTGTTTTCATGTGGAATACGGTGTTTCAGAAACATTAATGTATGTTCATTTATATAGGACGACTTCAAATGCAAAAGGAGATGTTTATTTTACATTCATGCCACATTTATCTGCAGAATAAGCTTAGAGTTGGCCCTGTAAAATATCATCAATTGCTGCTTTTCTGAGGTTATATAATGGGGCCTTTCCAGGAACTGAAAATCTCTTGGGTCAGCTCCTGGAGGCCCCTGCTGTCCCCAGCCTGGAGCAAATGAGAACGTTGGAAGCCGTGACTGGAAAGCACTGTGTGTGTATTAAAACTCATAAAAATGCTGTATAATAACTTAAATTTTTATTTAGATTACACAGTGTTTAAAAGAGAAAATAGCACAGAGATTTTTTTAAAAAAGAAAATATGCCTTTATGCCTTTCTTTACTGTGCTGCAATTTTCACTCGCCTGGAGTGATTACTGTTAATAGTGTGCTGCATATCCTTTATTTTTTTTCCCATGAAAACACACACAAATATTTTTTTTAATTTTGTTATAAAAATGCAACCATACCATTGAGCTTTAGTTTTTCACTAAACATTATAAGGGTTTTGAATGATTAGGACTACCCTATTTAGAGAAAACAGTTTAAGGTTCCTTTTTCCCTTTAGTTCAGCTTCAAAAGAAACTCTGGTAACCCTTGGATTAATGGCTATAAGTTTACTCCTTTGCTCTTTGAATGTAGAAATTGTGTCTTTAGCAAACTGATCCAACTTTCTCAAGTTTACTTATTTCTTAATATGAAAGAAATAAGTCTGTTTTAGTCTGTTCAGATGTTTAATCTAAGTTCACTTACGAAGGAGGGGTGTTTCACAGATTGTTGTTGTCATTCCAGCTTTTCTCTTGTTTTTATTGCCATTTTTAGTTTCATTTCCTTATCATTTTCCAACGGCATCTTTCATGTATTCTCTCTCTCTCTCTCTCTCTCTCTCTCTCACATACACACACACACACACACACACACGCACGCACGCACGCATGCAAAAGTAAGTGAAAGGATGTAGAATACCCTAACAAATTTTGGAGAAGAGCAAAGTTAGAAAATTTACACTACCTGATTTCAAGATGTAAAAAGCTACAGTAATCCCAACAGTGTAGTGATAATATAAAGATAGACATATAGATCAATGAAATAGAATAGAGAATTCAGAAATAGACCTACATAAAGATGGTCAATTGATTTTTTAAAAATATTGTATTTATTTTTAGAGAGAGGGGAAGGGAGGGAGAGAGGGAGAGAAACATCAATGTGCAAGAGATACATAAATTGGTTGCCTCTTGCACGCCCTCGGCTGGGGACCTGGCCCACAACCCAGGCCTGTGCCCTGACTGGGAATCAAACCAGTGACCTTTTAGTTCTCAGGCCAGCACTCAGTCCACTAAGCTACGCCAGCCAGGGTCAACTGATCAGAGGTGCCAAGACAGTTCAAATGGTGGTAGAACAATTGGATAGCCATGTCTACAAAAAAGAGAGCGTGTTTCAGTTACCTACTTCAATAATCTATTTTCAGAGCAATGCTTATTTACAGAGGGTTGTCACTGTAGTTAGTCCACGAACTATATTTAGAATATTCTAAAGCCTTGTTACTCAAAGTGTGGTCTGTAGACCCACAACGCTGGCTTCCCTGGAACTTACTAAAAATGCAGACTCTCGGGCCCCACCCCAGGCCTGCTGAACCAGCATTTGCCATTTAACAAGAGGCCCCAGGTGGTCCTAGGCACAAGATAGTTGGATGAGCACTGTTCTAAAGGTGCCCCCCACCATGGCCTGGGACACTTCTGGGTAACTGGCAATTCTTAAACATTAACATTTAATAACTGTTATTTTAACCTGAAGATCGCATTCTTCTCGAGGATTGCTCATTTATGTAAAAAGGAAAAACATTAGTATTAGTAATAGCTGCCTTTATTGAGCACTATCAAGTATGATGTTAAACATTTTATGTGCATTATTTAATTCTCCCAAACTCCAGAATGTAGATTCTGTTATTATCTTCATTTTAAAGAGACCACATAACTTGCCTAAGGTCTCATAACTAGAAAGTGAAGGAAATGACATCAAAACTCAGTGAGCCCGAGTCAGGAACCCCACTGACTATGTTCTCTTATATGGCCCACTGATAACATGTCATTCCCATTTTGCCTATGAAGAAGGTGAAACTTGGGGAGGCTTGTCAGGCACAGGACTGAGACTTGAGCACTTCTCCGTGTATTGTGCACATTCTGATGCAGTTACTGTGGTTTAATTAATTCTGAGCCTCTATATAATTGAACTGTTTCAAACCAATAAACTGTTCCCATGCAGAGATGGTGGTTATTACTACCTTGGTGAGTGAGAATGTCCAGTCAGGCAGGGGTGAGGCTTGACATAGTAGAGTAACTTGATAAGCCAAGTATGGATCTAGGCCCGCCAGGGCTCGGGGGGCTTCTGGGCCACATCGATGCCTGGTATCAGGGGAGGCGTCAAATTTAGAGATGCCCCGCTCTGACCCTTTGACTTACCCACTAAGAATGGGACCTGCCTCTTGAATCCTAGTCCGATTGGCTGCTATCCTGGGATCCTTGCCTAGTTTTCGCCCTTCCCTCTCTGTTGCGGCTGGGTTCTTCTTTCCCATCGCTTCCTATGCGGAAGGACTTTCCTGAATCTGGCCATTCAGGGCAGATGTATAAGAAAGAACGTCTTGGCCAGCGGAGCAAACTTTTTGCAAACCCCTGTCACAAGAGGGCAGCAAACCTGCCGTGTGCTGCCAGGCCTGGGGGTTTCTTGGCTCAGACCCCGGCAGGGGCCTCCCGCAGCTGAGGCCCCGTGCAAATCGCAAAGCGGGCTTGGGGAGGTGGGCGGCGACGGCTGAGTGCCGCGGAGTATGGAGGAGCTAACAAGAAATACCTTTCTAAGTAACTTGATCTCAAGTAAAATAGAATTATATCTAAAGAAATTCTCAAAACAGAAATTACATGGTTTCTCAGACCTGTTTGGTGTGTAACTATTTGTTTTTACCTTTAGTGTCCCTGTGGGAATGGCTAATTAGAACCCACAGAAAATTAATTGCAAGAAAGCATAATGGAGATACGTGCCAATACTGCCTTTTGTTTAGATGCATAGCGTATAAAGAAACTAATGAAACGGAAAACCAAAACAATCTGCCCAAAGGAAGGTTCCATCATATTTCTAGTACACTGTTTCTGTCCTTTTAATTTATTGCATTAGGACCAAAACTACATACAACCATTTGAATACAGGGTGGGGCAAAAGTAGTATTACAGTTTGTATGGAAAAATAATACAATAATTAATAAATAATAATACAAGAATAAGCTCTGTATTATTAGTTTGGTATAGTCACGACTATAAACCTACTTTTGCCCCACCACGTAGCCTGTCATTTTTCATATATGCCTGTGTCCTGAGCTTTGGCATAAAAAAAAAAAGGACTATTGTAGATAACAAAAGTGAGAACTGGAATTGAAAATACAACAGGTTCGCTGTTGTATTGTGTGTTAAGTAAAAGAAACAGATTCTGAGTTTCAATCCTATCTCAATCTTTCCTCTATGGCCTTATATCAACATTGTATAACACAGAATTCCCATATTCTGAGATACAAAGGAAAACAGAAACTGATCTGGAATCAAAAGACATTTGAATTTTCATCTACACCACTCTCCCTTCACATAAGCATACCCTTTGTGGCCAGAAACCCAGATACGAAATACAAATATATATTGGAAGAGACAGCACATACTTATGGGGAGTAGGAAGGAGGGTGGGGCGTGGGAAGGAGGGTAGGGAGTACTTAAAGCTCTACTCACAGACTATGTATAGCTCGTAGCACAAGGAGAGATGTGCGTGGAAGAGTTTGGTACAGATAGCTCCAGATGGGATTTGAGCCTCGGTATTTTCTGTGATTTTTCTATCTTTGCCCTTTCCGGTGCTTTTCTTGAATACAGAATGTAAAAGCCCTCCGTTTGCCAATCTTTGGCTACTGGGAATGAAGTTTGAAGGAGAGGGAGGTCTGAGCAATCTGAAATGTACAGGTTTCCATTTGGAGGCCATATATTAACTAACACGTAAAAGAGAGTTGGCCCAGGAACACCATTCATTGCAGTTCCTAGGCCAGTCTGTTTAATAACCAAACAAGTTCTCTCTGCCTGGACACCACGAATGGCATTTTAGGTTGTTTTGTTTTTTAAGGGGTAGAAAACATCTTTTAAAAACTGGTCCACTGAAGGTTGTAGACTCAGCTACTCTTCTAGCTACATTTCAAAACTGTAAATGTAGTTATGGAAACAAATTTTAAGTGGATTTTAAAATCCCTGCATAATATTTCTTGTAAATATAATCCATTTATTAAATAGCAAGCTGCTAGAAGAAAGGAACAATATTTGATGTATTTGTCAGAAAAAATATGGAAAGTATATACTAATAATTATTGCTATTATACTACTATTTTAAAAGTATTTTCTATTCTATTTATAGGCATCAACTGATGCTTACAAAATAATGGGGAGGAAGAAGTTTCATGAACAAATTATAGAAGATGAACTTCTTTCCCAGAAATTCAAAATAACTGATGAAATAGACATTCTCACCCTGCAAGATTATATGCAAGTAAGAAATTTAGGTTTGGCTATTGAAAACATACAAACAACAACAAAAGTCCTTTTGACCTTATCCTCTAAGAATCATACATTTTTCTATTGTGGTAAAATACACACAATATCAAATGTACCATTTCATTTTTAAATTTTAATTTATTGATTTTTTTTTGAGAGAAGGAGAAACATTGATTTGTTATTCCACGTATTTATGCATTTGTTTGTTGATCCTTGTATGTGCCCTGACTGAGGATCGAACCCACAACCTTGGCGTATCGGGACAATGCTCCAATCAACTAAGCTGCCCAGCCAGGGCTAAAACATACCATTTTAAAGTGAAATTCAGTGGCATTAAATACATTCACAGTGTTGTGCAAACGTTATCACCATCTAGTTTCAGAACCTTTTTGTCATCCCAAAGGGAAACCTCACATCCATTAAGCAGTCACTCCTCGCTCTTCTATCACTACAGCCCTTATCAACCACTAATCCACCTTCTGTCTCTGAATTTGCTTATTCTGGATATTTCGTACTAATGGAATCATATAATATGTGGCTTTTTGTGCCTGGAGAGTGGTAGCTAAGGAATGCGGGGTTACTTTTCTGTGTGCTAGAAATGTTTTGGAATAAGATAGTGGTGATATATGATGTGAACTTCTAAAAACCACTGAATTGTACACTTTAAAGTGGTTAAAATGCTGAATTTTTTATTATATAAATTTTATCTCCGTAAACAAATCAAAAATAAATACATGGTGCTTAGACACTGCACGGGGATTGACCTAGTAATGAAGATTCTGCTATTGTTTGGGTGCTTTCTGCCACAAGTAACAGAATATTTCCAGCCCCAAGAGGCTTAAACAATAAAGGACATTTTATTGTCCCATGTAACAAGTCCCTGGATAGGAGGGTCCTGGACTAGCTAATGAAGCAAGCAGCCCATGGACATCAGGGTTCTGGGTCATCTTCTCCACAGTTCTCTTGGCTTCCTTCCCATGGTAACAAGATGACTCTCACATTCTCAACTACATTCAAAGGCAGAAAGGAGTCTCCTTGAGTCTCTTTCTCTGTCTCTCATGAAGAACACTCTCTCCCAGAAGACCCCAGCAGACTTCCCCTCAGGTCCTGTTGGCCAGAACTAGATCATGGTTCATGTGCTGGGACCCTCCTTCCCGGAGCATATTGCCTGTTCCATACCTGAAAAAAACAATCAGGGCTCCAGGATAAAGGGAGAAGTAAGAAATGGTTGATGGGTAGGCAATCGACAAAGTGTCACAGCCTCGGTCTGGGGCTGAGCTGGTGGCATACCCAAGGCAAAGACTCTGTGGCAGGAGGATATGCAGGGCCTGCGAACTGGAGGAGAGAGAGCACAGAGGGTGTGGCATGTAGTCAGGCTAGGGGGCTGGAAAGAGATCAGCATGCAGGGCTTTCGACCGTACTAGGGTGTTTTTTTTCTTTTTCTTAATTTTATTTATTTATATTAGAGGGGAAGGGAAGGAGAAAGAGAGGAGAGAGACATCAATGTGTGGTTGCCTTTTGCATGCCCCCAGCTGGGTACCTGGCCTGCAACCCAGGCATGTGCCCTGACTGGGAATCGAACCAATGACCCTTTCCTTTGCAGGCCGGTGCTCAACCCACTGAGCCACACCAGCCAGGGCTATTTTTTTTTCTTGATTCTGTGTGCAACAAGAAGCTGGTACAGTGTTTCAAGAAATGAGGTGATCGAATCTAATGAAGGAGGAGATCCATGTGGCTACAATGCAGAGTGTGGATTAGAGGCCAGCGACAGCCTTCTAGTTTGGAGGTTCCTGCAGTATTTTGGTAGAGATGGCGGTATCTTGGTTTAGAGCTATGAGGCTGGAGATGCAAGAGATAATTAGAAAATAAAAGCAGTCTCTCTTGGCCCTGGCCGGGTAAGTCAGTTGGTTAGAGCGTTGTCCAGATACACTGAGGTTGCAGGTTCAATCCCCAGTCAAGGCACTTACAAGAATCAATCAGTGAATGCATAAATAAGTAGAACAACAAATCTCTCTCTCCCCCACCTTCTCTCTCTCTCTCTCTAAAAAAATCAATCAATAAATAAAATTTTAAAAGCAATGGGCCTTAGTGACAGGACAGTCGACTAAAGCAAGGTGCCCAACATGGCTCCTTAACACAGACTGAGGTGGTATAGCTTGCTACTACAATTGTGTGTGCTATACATGTATATGACTGTCAGTGCAGCTGGTTTGTTCACCGCATCACCACAAACATGTGAGTAATACATTGTGCTATGATGTTATAACAGCTACGACGTCACTAGGTGATAGGAATTTTTCAACTCCATTATAATCTTACGGGACAACTGTCATACAGGTGGTCTGTTGTTGACCAAAACATCATTAGGTGGCACATAACTATAATACCAACTCCTTTTAGTCTCATAACAACCCTAAGAGGTAGGTACTATTATTACCCCATTTTACACATTGTAAAGAACAAGGGATCCCAAATATTCTAGCTCATAATAATAATATATGGCTTTAACTGTTCACTCAGTTGCTTCAATGTGAATCATGAAATTAATACAGTGCCTCAGGGACTCTCAATTCTGTTTTCTTTCTTTTAAAGCCTTAACCTGTAAGATTAGGGCACTGGACCAGGAAATAAGTAGAGCTTGGGGGTGCCAACTATCTTTGCTAAGGACATGGCTCTCATACTTGCAGACTGTGACTATGCCAAGGATTGCTGTCAGAAAAAAGTCCCCAGATTGATATACTGGTAGAGACATGATGATTGCTGATATTTATTGAGCCCTTTATGGACACAGCAGTTTTTAGCACTTTATATGCATATTATTATCTCCTTTAATCTTCAAGTTTATAAATTACATGACCCTTTAACAGATGAGAAAAATTAAGTTTAATGAGATTTTTTTAAAACTTGCCCAAGGTCATATAGCTAATAAGTGCAGAGCAAATCATCGACTGTTCTAAGATGTTTACCCAATTTACTACTCCACTCTCAGGGAATAAAATATACAGGCAGCCCTCCCTTTACACAGTAGTGCAGGGCCATGAAAAGGACCGTGCAGAATGAAACCATGTGAAGCAAACTGTATAATCAATGGGAAAAATTGCAGTTGTTCTATGCCTTTAAAAAAATCTTCTCAAAACATTAAAAATGCTCCTACTGTCTCTTATACATATACAGGAATATTTTAAAAATGAAAGATTTAATATACTATAAAACATTAAGAGGTAAAATGTTTTATGTCTTTGTAAAAAAAAAACAAAACCTTAAATTCATCAACTGTGAACATACTAAAACCCACTGAATTATATACTTTAAATGGGTGAATTGTATGGGATGTGACTCTCAATAATTAACTATTAGAAAACAGTTTATCTAGAGCAGTTTAAACAGTGCTTGCCTTCTTGTTCTTATAGAACTTATAATACAGAGTGAGCATCTTCTCTCTGCAAATTGTCCTACTTCTAAGTTTCGATCACCCACCAACGTTCTATCCTCGACCTCAAACGTTGTCATGTATCTCGGAGTTCCTGTCCTGTGAAGTGTCTTTTTTGCTAGCGTCACTTCCTCTGGGACAGCTTAATTCTTTCTGTTACAGCCACTTTCCTCCTTTATGTCAATGGCTTCCCCTTCACCCACTCACTCCAGCTGCCCCTCTGCAGTTTCTTCGATGGTGACAAGTGGCAACACCGCGCGGTCACCTATTTCTTGTAAAACTCCATTTCCATTCGATTTGGATTTTAATTCTAGCATCACCACTTTTTGTTTTTTGGCTATTCCCTGTTTTTTGTTTTTGTTTTTGTTTTTTGTCACTGGGAGACAGAGGCAACACAACTACGTATTTTGCTGTCTTTGTGAACTAAATAACTGATCCACAGTGACCAATCATTGACACACTTTGAGAGAAGTAACATGATTTCTCTGTAATCACCATACACATCTGTTACTTATGCAGTGATTTATGGACTAAAGAGATAGCAGCAGAGTTTGTACTTTATGCAATTACTCAATTATTCTGTGGTAACTGAAATTGGAACCATGTTGTTGGAGGACTGGGCTTATTTGACTAAATGGTGGTAATGAAAATTCATGCATGCCTAAATAATGCAAAGGGAGAACTGCCTGTATGTGTCTTGTGGGAGAGTGTGTGTATGGGGGCAGGGGTTATACCCTAACTGCCCTGCTGTTATGCCATTTCCTAGCATCATAGATCCTCCTTCCCTATTCCTTGCTCTTCAATGAACATTTATAAGGTTGAATTGATTATATATTTGCATTTGTGTTTTTAACTCCTCATTTCATATTTTAAAATTCTTAAAAAGTGGGATTTCTATAAATATTTCAAATGAAAATAATGAGATTCGCCACTTAGCACCAGAGATGAACTCATTTCTAAAAAGGTTTATACAAATGTCATCTCAACCCACACGTGTCATGAAGGAGCACCACCAGGAATGAAGATCACATAGCTATTATCAGTTTTAGGCTCATCCTGAGTTTAATTTATCTGAGTTATATTTGCCATTAAAATGTTTATGCATTAAAGAAATATTTAGTGAGTGTGGTACTCCTTGCATAATACTGTGTGACAAGGATTCTGCCTTCCAGTGGGGGAGCTAAGACGTATGCAGCTAAAACATCCAGTTGTCAGTAATAAGAGTCATAGAAAAGAGATGCCAATAAAATTCAGAGATGTGATCAAGGAATGCTTTTTGGGTGAAGTGACATTTGAGTGGAACCTTGGGAAATGTGTCTAAAAACATTCTAGAGCACCCACAACTAACCTTTTTTAATTGTTTTTTCCATATACAAAGTGGGCAAAAGTAGGTTTACAATTGTTCATATGGAAAACAATAACTAATTAATAATAATATAAGAATAAATGGTGTTTTGCATACTCACAACTGTAAACCTGCTTTTGTCCCACCCTGTAGTATTGCAGTCTACTGGATAAGACACCTGCATCTTCAGGTGGAAGAAATAACTGTTGGAGAAGATTAAACCTCAGAAACATTCCCAGGACAATGATAATGTATGACATAGTTAATTTTGCAGAATCCGGAGTAATCTCAAACCGTCTACAAAAAGAAATGAAGTATCTGTTACAAAGACCACGCACAGAAGAGATGCGCCAGAACCAGCTACGGATTGTTTCTGAAGTTAGGTAAAAGTGATCCCTCACTGGGGTTACAATACTAGGGACATTTCTGAAAATGTTCACATTCTGCCAAACAGCTCATGGAAGATAATAGTAAGGCATATGGGGTCCTGGCCAGTGTGGCTTAGTTGGTTGGGCATCGTCCCGCAAACTAAAAGGTAGCAGTTTCGATTCCCAGTGAGGACACATGCCTGTGTTGTGGGTTCAGTCCTCAGTTGCGGTGCGTTTGAGAGGCGACCGATCGATGTTTCTCTATCACATCAATGTTTCTCTCCCTCTCTTTCTCCCTACCTCCCCCTTCTCAAAAATCAGTAAGCTCATGCCCTCAGGTGAGGATTTTTAAAAAATAGGGCATCTGGGAAAAATAAGGTTGGGGCAGATTGCTCAACAGTTAATGCAACTTTGTAAACAGAGCACCAACAGAAAGGACAATTGGTACCTGGGGAGGTAGCTTGTATCACCAGACAGGCAGATCAGGACAGCAAATACTAGAAAATGTACAATAGCCTAGGAATGCTCGTAACTTGAATTGGAGCAAGTAGTAGGCACCGAGATAGTGCAGATGGAAGCGCAGCCCTGGTCCAGTGTGATTGCATTTTCAGTGGACGTGAGAGGCAGTTCGACTTGCCCAGAACCAAGAGCCACCCAAGGTGGGGAGTAGGGTGGAGGACAGTAAGTGTGGATTGTGTGGGGGTGGGGCCCCTCTCTGGGGAGAGAACCCTCTGTGCAGATGCTAATCGTTGTTTTATAAATATAGCCAGAAGGGCTCCCATTGCCTGTGCTGCACAGAACTGATGACTTTTCCCTTTCTGCTCAAGGTTATAATTCTGCTTTTGCTATTCTGGCTCCCCTTGCTGAGGATAAATTGCATATAAATTACAGTGACATTATTCCCTTCTTTACCAGTAGCACATGAGCCAATTCACATTATAGAAATGCATGTTGTAGCAAAATAGACTGTATTATGATCTGAAGCAACATGAACGGAATATGACTGCTCCAATTATATTTCTTTTTTTCCTTTCCATTACCAAGTCTCACCTGGCCCATCTTGTTTAGAGATTAAGCTTTCTTTCTTAAGAAAAAGAGATAATAAGACTGAAGAGGACCTATTGGTAGTCCATTTTCACACAGTCATATTCAAAATGAAAAATACTCCGTTAGTACCTGAAGACACTGGTGACCCATTGTCACACAAACATGCTGGGGATCTTTTTCAGGAGAAGAGAAGAATGATGCTGACTCAATAACATAATTTAGCCCATTTATTTTTATGATCAAGGCCATACATTTGCCAGATGGACGGCCTGGTGTAGGGTGCAGCCAGTCTGTCATGAAATAGATTTTCACTAGCTCATCCATATAAGCACTGGATATAGAGCTTAACCCTATTACCACCAAGGTCAGCTAAATGGTGTCGTTTTCTCTGCCACCACATATAACCCTAGACTCCTTGCTGTTTGGACACATGCTACTGATTATCCAAGAATGAGTTGCTTTAAAGAGCCAAATAAGTAGTCAAATTCTTAATCAACTGAAGAGCAAAGAGTACTTTTGTAAAGGCTTCTTTGAGTGTAGTCTTAGTTTGGGATCTTCCAGGAGCAAAGCATGAGACGAGGACTTGACTACGAGTGGTTTATTTGAGAGGGATCCCGGGAACCGCTCATAAGACGGGGTAGAGAAGTGAAACAGGAAAAGGCAGGCAGCCAAAACTGTGTGTGTGAGCGAGCAAGCTACCACTGTGGGTAACTGGAGCCTAAGTTCTCCCGGGAATGTCTGAACCAGTATAGAGCACGCAACTCCAGTTATCCCACAGGGGCAAAGGAGTTGGGATATCTATACACCAATGCCCATTAGTCATTGGTTAAGGGTTGCTTAGGAGAGAAGGTATTAACTCTCAGGCAGTTTCCCCGCTCAAGGGGTTTTGTTTTCACAAGAAGGCTCTCAGGCTGACTGAGGTCAACGCCAGCGGTTGGCAGTTGGGCCCCTGTGCCCTGCAGTGGTAAGGCCAAGGGGACGGACTATGGGCATGCTACCAACTATGCCTGAGTTTGACTCTGGTTTTTAAAAGTTTGTTTTTTCATCCATTATGAAATTTAATACCTTTTTGTGTTAGTAAATGGTAAAAAAAAAAAAAAAAGATTCAAATGGCTACTACATGGTATTTTTGTAGGAAAACTGATTTTAAATTGATACCACATTTTATAATTTTCATCATTACCATCATCACTGTCACACAGCAGATAAAGAACTGTGCTATGTCATTCAAACAAATGGTAACTTTGGCCTAAAAATATATATGCAGTATTGCTGCAAGGACTGAGCTCTATGATATATTTGCTAGAGGATGCTTTAATAAAATTAGGAACTTGCTATACATCTACATTTTATTTTGTGCAATTTTTCTGTCTGTAATACAAATATTTCGTAGGTACTCTTCATCCGTCTCAAGTAGCCGACCTTTACGTCGGCCCTACCAACAGCAAAGTCAGATCAAACATCTGGGTCGTCGAGCCACGCAAGCTCAAATGAAAGTTGAAAAAACAAAACAAGCTTATGGAATGGCGAAAGAAGCCAACACTTCTGTGCGGACTGTAAGTTTAACTTGTACTGAATTCATTGTTCTGGACAATATGCAAACTGTTAAGTAATTCTACTTCCATAAGTAGAATTTTTCTAATCTACGAGTTGAAGGCTGAAAAACCTTCGTTACATACCTTGGATGATATAGTATAAAGCTACTTTTCTCTTGGTAACAGATATTTTTGAAATTCTTAAACCTGATCAATACTTCATGAACTTCTATCTGAACTTCTTAAAATCTATACTGTGTAAATTCTGCTTCAGTATGTTCCTATGTTGTAGGAGTATTTACAATGAACATATATTCATGTATTACTTTGTAATTTGCTTAACATATGCTACAAATTTTTTGAGATAAGGCTAAATATAAAAATATAAAGTAGTAAAAACCAAATATAAAACACTTTCCACTTTTATTTATAACTCTACCTAGGAACGTCAAACAGACACAGCAAATAAAAAGTACCGACAGAGGATTGCCTCCTCATCTTTTGACATTGTGGAAATTAAGGAACTCAAGTTAGATAACAAATTGGAGGAAAACAAAAAGCGACCATTTGCCTGGTGTCAAGAGTTCTATATTCATCGTTTTCCACCATTTTAATGCACAGCTAATTAGCAGAAAACCAAGTTATTTAATCATTTGCTTGTCTGTCTATAAATGATTGAATATGAGTCCTAAAGAAGAACAAAATATAATAAACAAGGCCTCGGTATGTTCTCTTAACCAATGTGTGACAGATTTTTAAGTCCTTTTTGTATTAACATGGGCACAAATGTTTTTTACTGACAGAGTTTTAATCTGAATAAATTATTTCAACTAGAGTCCCTCGAACTAGCCAGATACAGTTTTGTTTGAGAAATGATAAGTAAATGAATCCCTAGAACTTTCACTCAATTTTTATTTTCCTTCGGTTTAAAAAAATATCTGACCAGGCCATGCTTAGCACAAATATTAGGATTCGCAGAATAAAAGACTGCTGTGGAGACAGCTTCCAGTGTCTTTTTTTTTTTTAATAGCATGTTGTTTTCACAGAACAGCTTGTGATTGACCTATTCTCAATTATAATAAAATTAATAATGAATTCGTTGCTACAGTCAGCTTGACATAGCATGCCTAACCATTACTGAGCATTGTAAGCACTTGGGACAGAATGTTGCATGTGCTTTAATGTTGTCCTTTGGATATTTTTCAAGGATGAAGGCTGTTTTAAATAATATTTATCAATTTCCTTATGAATTGATAAATTCTCATTCCTGATATGGTACAAATTATTGATATTTTTGTGATTCAGGTTATTGGAGTATATCAAACTTCACCAGAGGCTGTGATAGTTAAACAAAGTGCATTATTTATTTAACTTTAAAAATATAATTTTTCATTTTGTTTAACATTTAAAATGTGGAGGTCGATTGCTGATTTAACTCAGGCAGAGCAACCTATAAATGGATCTCATTCTCTGCTAAAACATTCTCTTAAATTATAAAGAATATTGTAGTAAATGTGCATGATTCCCGCTAGAATACATTTAACATAAACGTGTACTCTTCAATATTAATATATCCTCATTTGATCTCCAAACATGGGATGGATAATCCCCTTGTTTTCAGAGCTTGTTCTGGACACTGGTTGAATAGAAAACATGTACTTACCACATGAGTCATACATATTCTCATTTGTTAAATTATGAAACAGTCCCTACTTCAATCAAATGCATATCAGATTCAGTCTACCCATAGTACGTGCAATAACAAAGCGAAGGGAGATTTAAGGTAACAAGATGAAGGATAATGACAAAGGACGGACAGGCTAAAGAGTCTGCTCTGGGGTAGCCCCTTCTCTATTAGCTCTGACTTTGTCCCATCTTAATGCCTAGGTACAAGCAAGGCTGAGAAATATACTCTTGTTTTGGGCAGTTACATACCAAACTAAAATTCTGTTGTTATAAAAGAACAAGACAGCCCTGGCTGGTGCGACTCAGTGGATTGAGTGCCAGCCCGCAAACCAAAGAGTCGCCAGTTCATTCCCAGTCAGGGCACATGCCTGGGTTGCGGGCCAGGTCCTCAGTAGAGGGTGCATGAGAGGCAACCACACATGGATGTTTCTCTCCATCTCTTTCTCCCTGCTTTCCTTTCTCTAGAAATAAATAAAATCTTTGGGAAAAAAAGAATTGGATAATTGATACTAAGACATAATTATCATCAAGTGCCAGAGACTGTCTTCTACTGATTCTTGTCACTCACATTAAAAAATGTAACCCCATCTTAGAAAACCCTTTTAAAAGTAGAATTATACATAATCTCATCACTGTAATATAACAAATGTTTTCATTTGTTTATATCTTTCTAATCTCTCTAAATGTACACAAATTTTCACATGGTTGTAATGATAACATACAGGGGTGGCTAAAGCAGGTTTATAGCTGTGAGTATGTGAAACAGTTTATTCTTGTATTATTAGCTATTAATTATTGTGTTATTTGTATTACAACTGTAAACCTACTTTTGCCCACCCCTCTAGATTTAAAAAGGCTAAAGATTTACATGATGTGAAGAGAAACCAGAGTATACCATCCCTGTAGATTTAAATTTTTCACTTAATGTATATTAAACGTAGTCCATTTAAAAAATAATTTTAATGGCCACATGATAGCCCACTGAGTTGATGAAGCATAATTTACTTAACCATATCCATATCATTGGATATTTCAGTGATTCTCATTTCTAGCTATTGTAGGTAATTAACACTAGAGTAAACATCATACACGGTTTTTCTTCTTTTGGTTATCTTTTTATTATTTATTTTTAACTTAATTGCACTGTACTCAGAGAACATGATTTGTATGATACTGATTCTGGGAAATTTTTTGAGACTTATTTTATAGGCAAGTGTGTGTTCAGTTTGGCTAAATGATTTTTGCACTCTTAATGAAGAAAAGAAAGAAGTATCCAGTACAGAGAAAGAAAAATGTGCATTCTCTGTCGTTAGATACAAGATTCTATACATGTTTTTTCTCCAGCATTGTGCAGTGGCATTATCACAGCCCAATGAGGTTTTTCCAAGCTGCAAGTATGCCTAATTGAAAACTTCTCCCTCTACATGTCCTTTTGGTCAAGCTTGTTAAATATATTGTTTATATTTTCTGTATGCTACTCATTTTTGGTCTGTATGACATCAGCGACTAAGAAGGGTATATGTTACATTCTGTGGTGGTGGGTTTGTCAGTTTCTCCTCATACTTCTGTTGGGTTTTGCTGTATGTTATTTGAAGACCTCATTAGATACATCTATTTCTAGTGAACTAAATCTGTTATCTTTATGTAGTTATTATCATTAGTCCTAGTAATGCATTTTGCCTTGAAGACTATTGTCCAATGTGAGCAAAACTACTCTAGCTTTCTTCTGATTATCGTCTGCCTGGCATATCCTTTTGCATCTTTTCTTATTTTCAACATTTTTATGTGTCAGAGACTGGCTAGCTGCTCGCTAATTCCATTTTCTCTTCCTGGGAACACAGGACTACATTTTCCAGCTCCTTTTGCAATTATGTTGGGACCACCAGAGGAATATGGGCAGATGTGATATATGCCACTCCTAGGCTTGGCAAAAATGTCATACGTGATCTTCTATGTGCTGTCTCCCCTGTCCACATGTCTGGAGGCAGAGAACTCCATGGGGGGAGAACTAGGATTGAAGGATCCCAGACTCCTATGTCACTGATTGAAAGAGTGATACCCAGAGCAGCAACCGGACCTGATGTACTGTTATGTGAGCAAGAAATAAACTTTGTTGTGTTAAGCCCCAACGAGGTTGTTCATTACAGTAATTAATGGTAATTATCCTAATACACCATGTGTTTGTGTTTTAGGTTTTCTCTAGGATACAGCAAATATCTGGATTATTTTGTTTTGTTTTGATCCAATCTGAGGATATCTTTGTTACAACTGGTGAGTTTAGACCATTTATACTCTATTATGACTTTAATTGTTGATATATGGAATTATCTTTATCATTTCATTTTCGGCTCTCTGTCCTGCTTTTTCCATTGTCTTTTTTCCCCCTTTCCTGTTTTCTCTCAGATTGATTCCACATTTCCCCCTCTATTGTTTTGGAAGTTATATGCTCTATTTTTATTTAGCGATGACTCTTAAATTTTAGCATGTGTACTTGAAGTCTAAATCAAAATAGCTCCACCACCCAAGGGTGTCAGAATGCTAATCACCACCATCCTCTTGTCTTGAAAGTTATTGTTATCCAATATTTTTGCGCCATGTTGTTTTTAACCTCCAAATTAGACGTTGTTATTTTATAAATCTCAAACTTCCTTCTGGGATCATTTTTTCTTTATCTTAATGTATACTCAGAAGCTCCTTTAATGAGCATCCATTGATGATAACTCTTTCAGTGTGGGGTTTTCTGAAACTGTTCTCATTTCACCCTTATTTTTACATACAATGTACATCATTTAAGTAGATATGAAATTCTACATTGACAGTGGTTTTCCCTCAGCAATCTTCAATTATTGTTCCATTGTGGTTGCCAGTCCCCTTGTTCCTTTTAGCTGATCTCTCTTTTCTCTCTATTAACTTTTAAGCTTTTTCTCCTCGTATTGTGTGCTCTTTGGTCACACTGAAAAAGATTGACTCTCCCAGCCCTGGCTGGTGGGGCTCAGTGGATTGAGCGCAGGCCTGCAAACCAGTTAAATTCCCAGTCAGGGCACATGCCTGGGTTGCAGGTCAGGTCCCCAGTAGGGGGCGTGCGAGAGGCAACTACACATTGATGTTTCTCTCCGTCTCTTTCTCCCTCCCTTCTCTTCTCTAAAAATAAATACAATCTTTTTAAAGAAAAGATTGACTCCCACATTTTATCTCCATTCTGTTTCATCTTACTGCCCTTGGAGTGTCTGGCTGTGTGCAGAGGTCTGGATCCCAATTCCCCACCTTCTCTGAGCCCAAGATCACGTCTCTCACGTCTCTCACGGACAGGAGGTCATTAAAACCTGAGATGTTAGGTTCCTGGGAGTGACGAATGGCCTCAGGGTTATCAGTCACTTACCGTGCTAGTTTGTAGCTTCCTCCTCACTTTTCATTCCTGAGTTTTTCCTTCTTACAAGCTCAACTATGCCTTTTAAAAGACGGGGGTTTCTTTTTATATTTTAGCTAGGGTTTCTATGGTTTTTGCAATGGGATAGTTTTTCAGAATATTTAGTCTACCATTTTCTCCTAAGTGAAAGTCCACATTGTTACTTCATTCTGTTGAATTATCTCCTTAGGATAGAATCTTGAGAGTGGAACCACTTACTTGCATCAGAGATTTTAAACATTTTTAGGGCTGTTTATACGCATTGTCAGATTCCTTTCTCGCCGTTCTCTTTCTGAGTGGCAACCACCAACGCTGATGTTTGTTTATCCATTTCACAGAGTCAAGAGTGGTGTTATACAGAGTACCTTTGACTCTGTCAAACCTGATTCTCTTTCTTCCTCCCCCATCTCTCTCTATCCCTCCACTATTCACATATACAGTGATTAGAGAAATCTTTCCCTTAAGAGTTTTGTTGTGCCTTGAGATTCAAGAGAGTTAAGAAAGAAGGTACCACTTGAGAAG